CCCCAAATAACACACCGAGACTCTGTATTTGATACAATGCTGTTGGCCAGGCACTAGTTTCTTATCAGCTAGCTCTGTCTTAATTATTAACCCATTTCTATGTATTTCCATGTGGTCTTATCTTATCGGGGGGAGGTGGCTGGCGGTTCTGTTCTCTCCAGACTCTCCATCTTGACTCCTCCTTCCTCTTTCCTCCTTGTCTCCTAGTCCCTCCTATCTTCCTTTCCTATTAGCCAACAGTGCTGTATGCATTAACCAGTATGAGAAACATATTTACAGAATGATATCTCCCATTACAGGCCAATTCTGCAATGATTATGAAGCCACTTATATTTACAGGCTAACTCTTTTGCTGCTGCAGTGTCTGCTGCTGCTGCTCAGATAACCTGGCAGGATGTAGTCATTTCAGATTGGGCTTGCTAATTCTGGAATGAAGAACTCAGAGTTGCAGGCTTCTACTCCACCAGTTGCTTCAGCCTAGAGAAGAGAACTCATGAAATGCTTCTTAATACTCTAATACAAGCATCGCCAATGACGTGGACGGTAAGAAAACTTAAGGCTGATGTATATGCAAACTTGGTAACACGGCTATTGGCTGGAATCATTTATTCCCCCTCCACACAATGAGTTGAAAGATATCCAAGTCCATCTTCACAGATAGCTGCTGTGTTCAGACCCTGACACCAGCTGGCTCAGACATGTGGCCTGCTTACATGTGTTGCTTTTGGAGCATATGATGATAGCATTGAACACAACACAGCTCAAATGTCTGTTGTTGTCTTTCTTAAAGGAGGGTCATGGGAAAAAAGTCTTGATAACATGTCCCCGGACCCTCTGGTGACATAAACAAGCAGCTCTTCTTTAAGTGCAGTACTTGCCATATTTTTATTCCACATTCTGAGTTATGTTGTATTTAAAGCAATGTTCATCTTTGAGATATACTCTTACCTACCCTCTAGAAAACACACCCTCCCACCCCCCCCACACACACACACACTCACACACACACACTGAAACACTGGACTGTGCTGGATTGGAAATGCCATCGGGGATTTTAAGAGATGCTATGTTCTTTAAGACCTTCGTTTCTGTCCCCCTTTGTTTCCTGTTGCTGTGATAAAATACTGACCAAATCCAGCCCAGGGTGGGAGAGGGTTTACTTGGCTAACACAGAGTACATCTTCGAAGGAAGTCAAGACAGGAACTCATGCAGGAACCTGAAAGCAGGAACTTACACAGAGGCCATGGAGGAGAGCTGTTTCCTAGTTTGCTCGGTTGGCTTTCTTAAACAATCCATGAATAACACCACCCTCCAAAACCAGTTTTAAAATGTCTTACATAAATGTCACATCCATGGGCCAGTTTGATGCAGGCAATTCCTCAAGTAAGGTTTATCCTTCTCAGGTAACTTTAATTTGCATCATGTTCATAAAAACTAACCAGAGCAATTCCCTTGGACATGAAGAACATACCCTTATTCTGATTTCTTTTACAATTCCTAGCCGATGCAGGTGAGGTTAAGTGGCATTATAATTCAATGCCACAGAGAAATTAAATATTCTCCCTGTACTGGCTTACAGATCTTTGACTCACCTGCTAGAGTATCCAGGACTTATGTGTCTGAGAGTTATCATTTGATTAGCTACTTCACATTTCTAACCATAGATGTCGTGCCCCCCCTGGAATATGGAAAGAATTCTATTTTGATCAACCGCTATCAATTCCAAACATACATATGTATATCTTTTATCAGTAATATACTCTCTGGTTCCATTTTAAAATTCAGTTAAGTTTTTTTTTAAAAAAATTGATACAATTAATTTATTGCAGATAACCCTTGACCCAACCCCCCTGAAAATCCAAAGTACCTGATATTATACATATGTGTATTATTTTCCTTTGAAGAAAAATTATGAGAAAAGCTGTAAATACTGTTATTGAATGCCTTACAATAAGACATATAGTAAGTGGAAGTGTGGATGATGAAAGTTAAAAGAATGTTTAAGGAAGATGGAATAGTCGTTGAAAAAGTTTTCTTCAGGGAAGAAATTGTCATAATTAATGAATAGAAAGAGGTAACAATGAGGCTGACTCAGATGGTGACGGTATGATGAAAATATGAGAAAATGGGGGGAATCTTTGAAAAGATGTTTAGGAAAAGAAATGGATCTAAAAATCTTGGCAGTTGTTTAGGCATGAGTAACAACACACAGGCTTGGAAATGACTATTGCCGTCAGCTGTGTTAGGGCGGTCTTGAGACAACCATCTGAATTTAGGTTGATATTCAGGGAGCTCTAATCCCAGGAACATGCTGAAGTTATTCCAATGTACCCACCAATGATGATAAAATAGCGAATATAATTTGGGATATTTAGCATAGTTGGAAAAATGAGGGTGCATAAGACATCTGAAGACAGCATAAAACTGAATGAGAGCAGAGAACTTAGGGCAAGTGTTTACAGCGCACGCATGACCTGGCCAGTGAAAGGTTGAGGAAGAAAATAACTAACAAAACATCCACCAGTGGGTGGTAGTGTGAATGACAGCTAATGTCAGTTCTCTGGACCATGTGAAGATCGCCACACTAAGTACTGCCTGCCTCTTTTGTGGTTTCTCTATGAATAAATGAACAGCTATAGAAGAATTTGCCCTTTTGAACACTAGAGAGCGATGTGGGATTTTCTGTAAAATATCCGTGCAGCTTAAAGGACAGTCACAAACCCACATTTGGAAAGATTTGTCAGAATTTGGGGATGCTCCCTGTGAGTGTAATTAAAAGATTGAGTTGCTATATCTTTGCCATCCCCAGAGCTTCTGTCATAGATGTGGAGCCTTAAATCAACTGTTCTAGTCACACATGACCAATAAGCGATCAACACCACCCATCTCTTGGATTAGACATTGTACTGATTTTCAGTTAATGGAACAAGAAAGTGTAGCATGGGTTGCACTAGGTCTTAATTAAAAAAAAAAAAAACCTGGAGTCAGCTATCAGGATCAGCTACAAGAAAGACCTCTTACCTCTACTGAATCCTCAGACCAAAGGGTGATCCTGTCCCTACGAATTCTCACACTGAATGCCACGAGCTCCTGTCTTCATCCTCTTTACAATTCCTCTCTCCACCCAGACATGTCTCCACCTCCCTAGGACTGGGATTGAAGGTGTGAGCCACCACCATCTGGCTCTGCTTCTCTTTTAGACTGAATTGATTTCATGTGGCCTTGAACTCACAGAGATCCATCTGTCTCTGTCTCCTGAGTGCTGGGATTGAAAGTGTGTACCCCACTGCTGGATCTCTGTGGCTAACTGAAGTGGGTAGCTCTGTATTCTGATCTTCAGGCAAGCTTCATTTGTTCCAACACACACAAAACTATCACCACAAGAAAGGTGGCTGTGAGAACCAGGGAAAAGAAAAGTAACTACAGGGAGATGAAGTTCAGAGAGACAGAGAAAACACCCATAGAAGCATTGCACTGGTAATTGCTAAATTCAGCAGATTTGCTGGGTATAATGCAGACATAAAGGGTAGGCTTTCATTCCACATATGGCAGTCTTATTACACAATAACAAAAAGTTTAAAGGGAAACATTCCTTAAACATATAGAAATAGAGACACCTTACGGGCTACACAACAGTTAATGAGAAAAGGCCAAACCGGAGGGAGAAAAGAGGGTGAGGAAATGATGTGTCTATATCATAATCTCAAAAATGAAACAGATATTTAATAAAATGGTGACAAACTGTAAGATTAAAAACAGCCAGTAACAATGCACGAGAAGATATAAGCAAGATTTTAATGCAGGAAATGATTTAGGTTACAGAGGAGTTCATTTCAGAACACCAAAATAAGCAAGAAAATATCTACACTGGTCCCCAATAAACGAGCCCAGTAGTGAGAATACACAGTCTCAGCAATATCATTAAGTATACAGAACAACACTAATTGCAAAATCAGGGGAACTTTGCTCTAAAATTTGGGAATGTCTAAACTTTAAGTGGAAAGGGAGAGAGTATATATAGGTGAGAAAATGGAGAACTGTAAGTGAAGTAGTTTGCCCTGTGGTTACCAAATCACTTTTGCAATAGTGACAGTGAAAGAGACATTGATGATGCATGGAAATAATACCAAAATAAAATATATGCATTTACAGATGAATTTAATATACTAAAGAAATGTCACTGCTGATCTAGAAGGAAGTGTTGTAATATATAATGAATTATTCTGGAATAAGGGGTTTGCCCCTACAGTGAATGGTGAATTTAAACCTTTCTTCATGGACAGGGAACAAAATAAATTACAAATTGATTAAGTGCTTAAATGTGAAACTCAAAATGTTAAGTGCCTTGGTAGATAATCTACTAGATAATCATGGGGTTGATTTTGGATAATTTCTTTTAAATAGTGCAAGCAAGCATGTGTGTACTTCAAACAATAGTAATCCTACTACATTAAGAAATGTAACAAGAGTCATTACAAAGAGAGTATGAATACAAATCACTAGTAGGAAGATGAGAAAGACAGACAGCCAAGAAAGGATTAGTATTCAGGAGATCTGATCAACTCATGGGTAAATAAGAGCTAATCAGCCAAAAACTAACGTGGGCAAAGGACCAGTTCTGGTTCTTAACGGTGAATGTTGTTGTGAGTGTGTCAAGAGCTGTGATGCTAATTCGGGAAATATCCAGGTTCATTCCCCAAAACGAAACGGAGAAAGCAACATAAGCTTTTAAAAAAAATTCACATAAATGAATAACGTATGAACAATTTTACTGAAACCAAGCGAGAATAGTAAGGCACAGGAGACAAAAAAAAAAAAATTAAAGCCGGCTGAACCTCACATCATCCAAGACAGTTTTGGCATCTCCTCCCACATCCTGTGCAGCAATGTCTCTGCCCCATGCATCTCACAACTGTGCAGTCCGTTGGGCGTGATTACATCATGAGAAGATTGCTCAGGGCAACCAGGAAGCCTTCAGCGAAGACAGCCCATCAAACCCCGCTATAGCCAAACATGCGCTTCGTACCTCTCTGCTGTGTGGCCCTTTTATTCTGGACCACAGGTAAGTGCCTGTTCGGAGCAGGCTGTATTCCAGCTCCAGCAGGTTCTCCTTACATCTGCAACAATAGACTCCCATCTGGACTTATCTTCAGTTTCTATTTGCTTCCTCCACAGGCTCCATGGACACTGAGGTCATCCAGAATCCTAGATATCTGGTCAAAGGAAAACAGCAGAAAGCCAAAATGGACTGCACCGGCATAAAAGGACACAGTTACACTTACTGGTACTACAAGAAGCAGGGAGAAGAACTCAAGTTTCTGGTTTACTTTCAGAACGCAGACGTTGTAGACAAAATAGATAAGATCGATAAAAATATTTTAGCCCAATGCCCCCGAGACTTCCCGTGCACCCTAGAGATCCAGTCCAGCGAGCTCGCAGACTCGGCTGTGTATTTCTGTGCTAGCAGTCTATCCACAGTGCTGACTGCTGGCTTTTCTTAGAACACAAACTTCACTGGGACCCTGCTCAGGAAATCAGGGTTCCACAAGCTTGCTGAGAGCTAACAGAAACACAGTGTGAAAGAGTATGAGCCAGAAAAAAAAAATCTGTAAGTCATGGATCCAGGTAAGCTAAACAAACAAAAGAGAAAAGAGTGTTGGGAGAGGCAAGGAGAACGTAAAGAACACCCAGTTTCCAGAAGGTGCTGGAGAGATTAAAGTGGTTAGTTGGTTTTATTTCCTCTCCCCTCCTCTGATTGACGAATTTCCATCAAACACAATTATTCCTCCGTCCTTTCATCTGGCAAGGCTGCACGCTTCAGAATAAGGGAGAAACCCACCCGTGTGGCTTTTACACAGAAGCCCAAAGGTTTGGTGTAGACTCACAGGGATGTGCAAGTTCTCAAGGCTGTTCCCTTCCCGTAGAAACTTGCCTGAGAATTACATCAGCTCCTGTCCTCTGTAATCCTAAACCACAATGCTTTTAAAACAGTATTATCTACAAATATATGTCCCAAAAAAACCCCTTTGGAATATGCATTTCTACAAATTTTGACGGTTTGTCTACATACAAGTTACCACTGGGCACTGAGGTTTGCCCAAACTTCCCCAACATGTCTTTGCTGAAGTCTTTGATATTAATAATAAACCCTCAGCATTGATTTGCTATTTTTATTATGTAGGTATTCCATATATTTTGTTAACTTTGCTCTGAATACACTTTATTTTGTTGATCATTAGGCTTATTCTGACTTGGATTCTCAATCCTCCTGTCTCAATTTCCTGAGTTCTACGATTATAAACATCAGTTGCCACACCTAGCCTCCAAACTTCTATTAAGGAACTTATGCATTATTTTATAATATCCATCAGAAGCATATTTAGCAAACCATTTCTACAAGGAATCAGCATAAGATTAAATCAGCATATTCTTTACACTTCTCAACTGTTACCTCCCCCTCAGCATATTATATAAAACTTTCCAAGTTACAGAGTTGTGAATATGATCAAAATGTGTTTAATGAACGTATGGAACTATGAAAATAAAACCCATCGCTTCACACAATGGATATGCATGAAGCAAGTTTCTTCTATGATGTCCGTGACTTCAGCAAACCTGTGTGTGCTGGCGATGGTAGCTGTCTTTCACATGAGTCAACTATTTGCTATTCTACTTTAAGATGAACAGTGTTCTTTCTAATCTGTCAAGAAAACACTTGTAAAACTTATGCAAGGTGCTCACCACGAAGTGTATTCTGCTCATGGAAACAAACTCCCAAGCTAGGAATGAAGGGAGCTCATTTGGGGAGCATGTGGCACAGCAGGAAGAATTTGGGTGTTTCAACTTGATTAGTCCAATCAAGTTGTTAATTACTGGTGCAGCATTCATGGTGCCAGATAAGGTGCTTGGCCATGATTCCCGAAGCACAAATTCCCATTTTCCCACTTGTTTTGATGTGAACTTAACGTGTTCTAAAAATAGTTTATTAACTTAATAATATGTAATATGTAAGCATTCAGATGAATAATTACCACAAAGGAGTGATGAGGTAGAGATACCAGTTGAGAAGTGTAAATACTACAACAACAACAACAACAATAATAATAATAATAATAAACCTAATGTCAATTCTTTCCAGAAATAACTTGCTAAATAGATTTCTTGTGGTACATAGTCTGATAACATATGGGACTAAGAATTTAACACTGTAGCCTTCTTCATGGTTTGCTCCTTTGAGTTATCTTTGGAGTATGGCACTGTTTACAATGAATACAGCAAAGATCTTTAATCTAGTAGAACTGTCCACACTTCTCTAAAAAACACTAATGTGAGCCTTGTATTGGTGGTGCTCGCCTTTAATCCCAGCACTCAGGAGGCAGAGGCAGGTGGATCTCTGTGAGTTCGAAGCCAGCCTGGTCTACAGAGCAAATTCCAGGACAGGATGCAAAGCTACACAGAGAAACCCTGTCTCTAAAATCCAAAAACCAAAAACAACAAAAAAAGAGAAACTAATGTGTATATTATCATACCATATCACTGAGTTCTAAGGCAGACTTGCAAACAGTAGCACAAACTGCATCAAAACATTATTTATTTATCTGTCCATTTATTTATTCATTTATTTACTTACTTTTGTGTGTGTGTGTGTGTGTGTGTGTGTGTGTGTGTGTGTGTGTGTGAGTGACAAGGTACCTCTGTGTAGCTTTGGAGCCTGTCCTGGAACTCGCTCTGTAGACCAGACTGGCTTCGAACTCACAGAGATCCTCCTGCCTCTGCCTCCCAAGTGCTTCTATTAAAGGCATGCACCAACACTGCAGAGCTCAAAGAATTTTTTAAAGAAAGTGTCTCATTGTGTGATCCTGACTGGTCTAGAACTCTGTGTGCATATAAGGCACTCATAGGGACATTCCTGCCTCTCCCTCCTGATGCTGGGATTGCAAGGGAATATATTATAAACATATATTAATATATTCAATATACACATATATATTTCAGTGATTCTGATTATGGATATTTCTGCTGATTAGAGGATTCCTTAAGACAACATTTCAATTTCTGGTAAATGCTTATTGTGTCTTAAGTCTAAAACTCAGTAAGAAGCAATAATTACTGTTACTCTTGAACAATGCTGGGGATTAGACATCTGCACAATGCATTTTGCAGTGTATGCAAGCTCCCTAATATTTCCTATGCGTGGCTTCAAGTATGAAGTATAATCTTTCCTAAGGCAGAAATGTTTATCGCATGATAACAGGGCCTCTAATGGCTACACAGGTAAAAGATGGATCTGAATAGAAAAATAATCTTTATTTTCACTGATGCCTTAGCTGGAACACATCATTCCACAATAAAAATAGTGAATAAAATAATGATGGTTTTGGTTTTATCTGTGACAAATGATAACGCAAATCACATTCATTTTCATTTGAATATATATTGCACACATTTCAGGGATTTGAAAGTCTTTTTTTTTTTTTAACATTACATTACACAAAGTAAACATTATTTGCCTTCATCACTGTTTTGAAATCATGGCAGTTTTCAGATTAAGCAGCATATATTTTATTCATTTGATTTGAAGTTGTCTGTTCATTAATACATCACAAACTTTTGAGTAATATTTTGATATCTGTATTTTAAAAGAGTTGGTTTCATTTGTGGTGCTACACATTTCATTTTATATCTTTAAATAGTCTCAAATGGGGCCCCCGGGGTTTGCCAGACTGACAAAAATGTAGAGACCTTCATAAGGGATGAGGGTCCCACCTCCGTGGTATGATGGAAAGGCTAAAGCCAGTAGCTCTTCTTTAATCTGTGTTACAGTTACCTCGAGTGACCTAGCTCTTCTTTAATCTGTGTTACAGTTACCTCGAGTGACCTAGCTCTTCTTTAATCTGTGATACAGTTACCTCAAGTGACCTAGCTCTTCTTTAATCTGTGTTACAGTTACCTCGAGTGACCTAGCTCTTCTTTAATCTGTGATACAGTTACCTCGAGTGACCTAGCTCTTCTTTAATCTGTGATACAGTTACCTCGAGTGACCTAGCTCTTCTTTAATCTGTGTTACAGTTACCTCGAGTGACCTAGCTCTTCTTTAATCTGTGTTACAGTTACCTCGAGTGACCTAGCTCTTCTTTAATCTGTGATACAGTTACCTCGAGTGACCTAGCTCTTCTTTAATCTGTGATACAGTTACCTCGAGTGACCTAGCTCTTCTTTAATCTGTGTTACAGTTACCTCGAGTGACCTAGCTCTTCTTTAATCTGTGTTACAGTTACCTCGAGTGACCTAGCTCTTCTTTAATCTGTGATACAGTGTTACTCATTCCCATTTCTGCTTTTCTCCTCACACCCATATCGATCCCAGTTCCCTCTCCCTCCCTCTACCCTCTCTCTCCCCTCACATGCACCCCGAGAACCCTCCCCTCCCGTGCCCCCACACTCCCCCACTCCACATGTAGGGCAATGCCATCCAGGAGGGGTCATGTAATCTGTCAAGTCACGTGAAGTAGGGACTAGGACTTCTCTCCTGTCTCTAGGTTAAGGGAGTGTCGCACCATGGGGGATGTGTTCACAAGGTCCTTTTGTGCACCAGGAATACATCCTGGTTCCACTGTCTGCGGGCCCTTAAGACTGCTCAGTCCTTCTGGCTGAGACCCATGTTCAGGGGGGGCTGAGTCAGTCCCATGATGGATTCCCAGCTATCAGTCTTGGGGCCCGTTAGCTCCTCCTTGTTCAGGTCAGCTGTCTCTATGTGTTTCTCCAACCTGGTCTTGTCCTCCCTCTCTGCATCTGGATTCTAGTTAGGCCCAGTGTTTAGTTATGGGTGTTTGCTTCTGTTTCCAACAGGTACTAGATGAGGGCTCCATGATGGTGGATAAGTTAGTTGTTGATCTCACTATCTGGGGAGGGAATTTATGGTAGCCTTTCCACGGTTGCTCAGATTGTTAGTTGGCGGCAGTCTTGTAGGTCACTGGACCTTTTTCTAGAGTCAGTTTTCTCTTCAGTCCTATAATGGCTCCCTCTTTTATCCCTTTCCTTTTCCTTGTAATCAAGGTGCCTTTGACCTCTTGTCTGCACACCTCTTGTCCAGAAGGTGTCACCAACAACTGTGAAGCCATTGTGTTCCATCCAAAAGATTTTTATGAAAGCATTATACCTTGTATGACAGGTGACCTTGGATGAAATACAAGTTAACATTTGTTAGTAGATTGACAGCATTCTTCCATTTACCTCAGACTCTTGAGAAGAACCTGTTTTATACAATAAATTTACCCGTGTACAAATTCTAATTCGGATTCAGCCCTGGGAAATATTTTAATTAGCAGGTAAAACCCCCATGTCAACAAATGTCTGGCTCCTCTCGACATGGTATTAAATTCTTAATGCGTTTTTTATTAGAATGCCAGATACTAAAATTAACAATCACAAACATAAATATGGTATTTGCAATGGGCTAAGAACTATACCGAATTCTCTATATTATTTTGAGATAGATACTCATTATTGCATATTAGAGAAGGGGGACATTAAATCAGACAGAGGTCAAATAATGTTACAAAGGATGCTTGGCTGATAAATGGCGGATGTGGCATTTGGGCCTCCCCTATCTCCCAATGCTCATCTCTAATCTAGTGAGGGAAGCTGAGGGCCTTCTACACTTGCTAAGCTTTGAGAACTGGTCTCACTATATTTACCACATTAATTGCTTATGGCAAACACAGGCGATGGATAAAAACGGATGTAAAAGAAAAATCTGAGCATCTGAACTACACCCCTTATGTCTGGGTTTCTTTTTCTCCATGTGGGAATGGGAGGGGGTCAAGCCTGACATTTGCAGCCCTAACCACAGCCACTACACATGACATTCTGGATGTTACTTTGGACAGGAAATTCTTGTCCTATTTGATATTTTTTTTTGCACACACACTCACGCACACACATGCATACACACATGCTCACACACACGCACACGCTCACACACTGTAAAGCTCTGTGGGTGAACATGAATCAGCTCCCATAGGCTGATCAGACACCGAACGTGAGGATACAGGGGTGCTGAGCGGCCTGTGGAGAGGGTGTGATGACAGCCATGGCACCTTTCCTAACCACTTCATGGAACTCAGGTATGCATATTTCATATATGTCAAAGTTGAACATGTTTAAATCGGCAATACTCAAAGAAAATTAAATCAAAGAAGATTAAAAATTTACTTGACCTCAGAAAAAAATGAGAGTGAAAATTAACTAAAACCTGGCCCATGAACACTATAGGGTATACAAACTGGAATGCAAAGTGCATTGCAGGACGTGGATAACACTTTCCTGTCTTATAAAAAGTCTAAAGACATGTAAAACCACAATAGCCTGCTGTGCTATGTAGTAAAACGTAGAAGAAGCATTTAAAAGCAGACATGCACACAGCCATGCAGAGTAGAGCATGCCTGTTACCCCAGTGCTTGGAAGATGGAGTCAAGAGTCAAGAGAACCGAGGTCACCCTCACTCTGTATTGAGTTTGAGTCTGAGGCCAGTCTGAGGTTGTGTGACACTGTCTCATCAGCATAAACTTCAATGTAATTAGAAAGCAGAGAACGTGGAGGCAGGTAAGGAAAAAGAACTTTTAGAAATCCAGGTAACTGCTTCTCAACACACATCAATTACTTGAGTGTTTACTCTGTTAGTGCACTATCAAACTTCCATATTCAATATGAAGTTAGAAGGTGGATGAACCTTCAATTGAATGAGTAAGGGAAAATCCGTGGAGATGCACATGTCAGACTACCAACCCACTCTCCTATAATGAAGATAGGAAGTGGGGAGAAAAATAAAGACGAAAAAGTCACGAAATGTACACACTAGAATGAACAGTGACTGGAAACGCAGACAAGAAAAGTTGAGGGTAGCTTTAAAAACCCTGGAAATGAACAAGCTGAAAGACAAAAGAAAATAAATAAGTGTTCTCAAAGCAATGGTCAGTAACGAAATTATAAAGCAGCAGTGATGATAGGAATTTATCATCTAATTACGGTAATTAGATAATAAATAGATAGAAAACAATGTCCATCTGTGAGATAGAAACCATGTACAAGTCCATGAGAAAGGACACTTAGGAGCCAATTGAGAAACACTGAACATAAACTAAGTGACACATAAAATGAATACACATTGACAGGGAAGGATAATGATTAGCTAAAAGGTGGTTATGAGGGAGCAATTAAAGACCATTTAGTAAAAAGTACTGTGTCTCTGTACATACATGCACATATGAAGATAAGCATGCTAGTAACATGTATGTATGTATGTTTGTGGAAAGGGGGACTTGGACAGAGAACATCAGAGATTATCACTAGTGCACAGTCTGGTCATTGTCTAGTAGTCTTAGGATGCTTTGTGCTGTATCTTTTATTTTATTTTACTTTCACTTTCACTGTGTCTGGTATTTTTTTAAAATTTCATTTTATATTCCAATCACAGTTCTCCCTCCCATACATCCCCCATCCCTGAGGAGGTGACTTACTTTATTTTTAGTTGTCTAATATATATATATATATATATATATATATGTATGTATATATATATATATATATATATATATATATAAGTTATTCATACTAGTAAAAAAACATGAATTTATTCACTGTGTCAAAATTTTCCTTCTATACTGTGAAATGTGTCAGCAACGTGAGTCTGTAAATGACAACTATGAATCTGAAAAGGGGTGATGTCACAGGAACAGGAAGGTTGCTGATAAGGTCTAGTGCCCTGATGCTAGTCAACGAAACCATGAACACGAGACTTCTCTGCTGTGTAGCCTTTTGTCTCCTGGAAGCAGGTGACTCCTGGTTTGGGGAGTCCTGGCAGTGGCTCCAATCCATGTTCACTGTCAAGATTCCTCCTGGGTCACTCACTGGGTCATACTTTCTGTTTCTATCTTTTAGGCTCTTTGGATGGACAAGTTATCCAGACTCCACAGCATCTGTTCAAAGGGAAAGGAGAGAAAGCGAAGATGAGCTGTAGCCCCGAAAGTGGACATACTTTTGTTTACTGGTACCAGCAGAAGCAGAACAAAGAGCTAAATTTTTTGATTTCTTTTCAACGCCAAGAAGTTCGTGAAAGAACAGACTTGGTCAAGGAGCGATTCTTGGCCGAGTGCCCCTTAAACACACCCTGCAGCCTAGAAATCCAGTCCGCAGAAGCAGGAGACTCAGCGCTGTATCTCTGTGCGAGCAGTCTGTCCACAGCCCTGAATTGTACGTTCTCCTCAGTGCACAAACCCTCCACGGGGGCGACTCAGGAAGCAGGTGCTGTTCTGGGTTGGGAGGAAGTAACTAATGAACCGGAGCCAGTGTCAACCACAGGAGGCTAGAATGTGTCTAGCAGAGGAGCGACAGCTCTATAGCCCAGACAGGCCATGGGGCCAGAACTGGGGTGAACCGTCTTCACGTGGTGTTCACCTCTTTTTCTTTGTCAACTTCTGTTTGTATTTACCACCTTTCCACGTCGTACTCATGGTGAAAATTAGATGGTCACCAAAGATCTCAAATTCACTTTCAACATTCTACCATGCCGACAAAGATCAACCTGGCTGTTTCAGAGCCTGGGTTAAAGATCTCAAAAGAATATGTATCCAGTAATGTGACTGTTGAGAAATTAAATATATAGTTTTATATACCTGAAGGATACGAGAGGACTCCTGAGACTCACTACGTTCTTAATATAGAAGTTCGAAGCCCCCCACCCCAACCTCCTGTTTCCTTATAATGTTTCCCACTGGCCTAGGATGACCAGTCAAGAAGTGCCAAGCAGAGATTTCATAATCTCTTTCTCTTCCTCAAGGCATTATACGTTTTATCATAGAATTGAAGAGGATGATTCCAGAACGTAAAGTCAGTACTTCAACAGAACAGGGTGAGTGGAAGTGAAGAAGAAAAGTGCTGAACGCATTGTTGTAGCTAGGGCCCGGGGTATAAGCAAGTGAGAGACAGGAGGAATTCAAGAGAGAGGCCAGTCGTAGACTGTATTATACAATTCATGGTATCTGCATACAAAATCCAAGGGAGAGAGAGAGAGCCACAAGTGTATCAAGGGTACTGGCATTATTCAAAAAGAGTACGATATATTAATACGGATATTCTATTCATTGATGAATTCTTAAAGTATAGATGTGAAGTTTGCATTGATAAAGCAAATGAAAGACAGTTTTAAATGAATAAAATATCAGTAAGTCTTACTTAATGAGACAAGGAAAACCTTTCCTGTTACCACGAATCGCTTTGGTGTACAGGAAACAGTTAGGCAATGATTGCATCTGTCACAGGAAGGCCGCAGAAGCAGCCTGCAAGCACCCCAGTTTCTCTTCTTACATCTGCCTCTCGCGTTCCTCTGTCAGCCTGTCCTCGTCATTAATCCAGTTTCCATGGGGTGAATAAGGCAGTCACCAAAAATGATAGGTTCTACTGCTTTCTTTCTATCCTCTCTCTCCCCCTCTCTCTCTCCCTCTCCCTCTCTCTCTCCCTTTCCCTCTCCCTCTCCCTCTCTCTCTCTGGACCCACCTAGCAGAGCACAGCATTTCTTCCATGCCCTCGTATCTGATCCTAACACAACCCAGTGACTCGATGGAGCCAGTCTACCATGGCAGTGGGGTAGCATCTTTGACTTTATCATATTCGTTTTAGGGTGAAGATGCAGATGATGATTTAAGAAAAAACAAAATCAATAATTCAGCAGAAAAGTAGAAGGGGAGAGATAGAATTGTACTCATGTATACACAAGGGGGGGGATGCACTCTTCTGTGGCTCAGGCTGATAATTGATGGGCTCCGTATCTGATTTTGACAGAGATGGAAGAGAGATAGAGAACACTAAACTACCATGTTATAAAGACTATTGTTAATGGGTTAAGCGTTTGAGCATTATCTAACAGTAACAGGATATTTTCGATTTGATAAGTTTATTTTATGACTTCCTAAAATACAGACTTAGTGTTGTAATAGCAAAATCAACATAAAATTATTTAACAAATTGTATTCCGCTGTTTACAGAAAAGCTCTTCAGAGATCATCTTTTCAGAGCTGCTTTGGTGGTAAAGACTGAGCCTACCAAAGATGATGTCACAGGGACTTAAAGCGTGGTAAATAAGGATCTGGGAAAGGATAGGCTGATGGATGTTCATTCGGGGAGAAATCACTCACACCAGAAACAGATGGCCGTCCAGGTTCAGGTTCAAGGATGCCTCCCGATGCTCTCTGCCTCCCACTAGCAAGAAAGAGAGCGAGCTTGTGTCCTGGACCCCAGATCTAGTCTCCCCAGGTCATGCCAGCACCTGTGACCACGCCCCAATGGGCGTGGTCCGTGCACCAGGTTGGGGGGGGGGTGTGTGGACATCTCAGTACAGGAAGTTTAGTGATGAAGCTTGAGAGCGCCACGCGCTTTGCTGCTGCAGTGTGGCCATGGCTGGTTGGCTCATCTGCTGTGTAGCACTTTGCCTCCTTCGGGCAGGTGAGACCTAAGCTCCTAACGTAAACTCGTGTTTACAGTTCACCAGCAAGAGACCCAGATAATTTTCCTTGCCAGAGCTGCTGCTGGCCTGTGTTCATGTTCTCTATATTCATTTTTCTTCTAGGCTTTTTTGATGCTGCGGTCACTCAGACGCCAAGACATGTGATCAAAACGGAAGGACAGAAAGCTATGATGATGTGTGACCCCGAAAAGGGGCACACTGCTGTGTTCTGGTACCAGCAGAGGCAGAACGAAGAGTTAAAGTTCCTGATATACTTTCAGGGTGAACTGCCTGTTGATCAAACAGACATGGTCAAGAATCGATTCTCAGCTAAGTGTCCCTCAGGTGTAAGCTGCAGCCTGGACATCACAGCTTCCGAAGTTGGAGACTCTGCCCTGTACTTCTGTGCCAGCAGTCAGTCCACAGCAGTGAATTGTTCATTTCCTTCCCTTCACAAACCCACCACGGAGCCAACCTAAGACGCGGGTGACGTTGGAAGGGAGAAAAACTCACTGGGCTCAGCGTCCCACACGGTGGCATCCACACAGGACAGAGTTCAGAAGAGGTGCCTCAAAAACAGCGCGTTTCTACCAAGTCAGGAAAGGCTGCTCTTCCCGTGTATCTCTCCCCTCATTCGCCTGCTTTGCTCTCCTGGCCCTGCTCAGTTCTTTTCTGTGGTCTTCATGGTGAGAATCCGGTGATTACCAAGATCATAAAGCTGGTTGGCATCATTTTGCCACTCTGAAAAGCCTAGTTATGTCTGAGCCCATGCTAAACACATTAAGAGAAAATGGGTTGGTAATGATTTAGTGAACATTTAACTCTACTCACCTATGTAGTATCTTAAAGATCACATAATATAATGTTGCTGCTTGTGTTTCCCCTGAGCTCAACTTGAATAAAACATTGCATGTCTCTGTGTCTCATCTAGTCTGCCCGTTTTAAATGAAAAAAAAAAAAAAACTATTTAAAAATACTTTTTTATTCCAGAAAGGAAATAAACCATCCATCATATATGTACATATATACACATCATATGCATATAACACATCATAAACTATTACAATAATGTTATAATGCATGTCTTGGCATATGAGTGTTGAAACCTCAAGAATATTCACATTTGATATATGTTCTAATCCCACAGTGAATTGCACAAGCCTTTCTCTTATATCTTCATCTCCCCCACTGGCATTATCCAGTGATGAGATTAAGCCACTGATAGGAGTCTCACTACATTCCATAATCCTTCTTATTCTACCCCCAAGACATCACCAGTTTTACGATAAAGAGGCATATGGACACCTAATAATAAATAAATGTCAATAACGTAATAGGGAACAGTGATGGAAGAGATTTTAGTGCATTAATAAATGCAGGGGTGAGTGTGACAGGAAGTTGTCATTCTGGGTCAAGCCTGTAATCATGATGATAATGGGGTGGGATGACTAGGAGAGAGCATAACTAATGTATTAAGAAAATAGAAGTGAGACTTGGGAAGAAAACCGAGGTTCCATGGGAAAAGAAACAAGTACAGTCAATGGCAAGAATAGGGTCAAAGTAATACATCCATACATATACACACCCATACATATATACATACATATATATGTATGTACATATCACACACATATGTACATATAATGACTTTGTATGTGACAAGACTGATAGTGTAGACATTATCTAGAAGTAGTATACTTTAATTCTAATATTCCTACAGTTTCATGACTTCGCTAAAAATGCAATGTTTATGCTATTAAAATACACACAAGCTGTTTTGCGTGGTTTGCCAGTGAGGTGAGGAAAAGCTTTTCTTCTGATACTAAGAACTTCCTCAGCAGCAGCATTGGAGCTGCAACGTAGTCGAGTCTGCAGGCGTGGGGGGGGGGGTCACAGGAAGATTGCACCCTGAAAACAGTTTATCCTCTGCTTGCTGTAGTGTGGCCATGGGTGAGAGGCTGTTCTGCTGTGTGGCCCTCTGTCTCCTTGGGGCAGGTGAGTAATGAGGAAAGACAGCTTTGTCTTCACGCTGCAAACTACAGATCTGAATCTTTTACCTTGCCAGAGTCTCCCCTGAGCTGTTCTCATGTTCTGTCTTCTCCTCTCTTCCAGGCTCCTTTGATGCCAAAGTAACCCAGACTCCAAGATATGTGATCAGAGAGAAAGGACAGAAAGCAAACATGACCTGTAACCCTGAAAAGGGGCACACTGCCTTTTACTGGTATCAGCAGACCCAAAATGGAGAGCTTAAACTTTTGATTAACTTTCGGAATGAAGAAATTATTGAACAGACAGACTTGGTCAAGGGGCGATTCTCAGCTGAGTGTCCCTCAA